GGGGAAAGAGTTATTGGCTACACTCGCCATGCTCGAGACCCTTCAACCACACGAATTTTCGGTCACGCCAGTGTCCAGACCCGTGGCGACAAATAGCTTCCTGCCACGCGAGAACACTATCGGCTCGATAAAAATGGCCACCTTTCATTAGAACATACATCGAGATACATACTCTTGTGAAAACAATATTTCTATACTATTGCAAAGTGATCAATCGAGTCAACCTGTTACATCGGAACGTATTATCTGAACGAGAATTCGATTGAGAATCACTGATTCTCAATATTTCAATTCTTTCTGTGCTACAGGTGCGCCAATGTTTTCATACTAAATAATTATTATTAATTTTTTTTTCTTAACAATCTTAATTTGTTTTTAACTTTGTATATTATAATAATATCCACGAAAAAAGAATTTTGATAAAGGATTTTTTCTTTATAAATAACGAGGAACGTGACGATTCAAGTTCGAGATAATCTCATAAAGGATAAAAATATATAATCAAAAAAATGTCGATATTAATCCATATCACGTAGGGAGAAAATTCTCTTAAACAGACATGATGTTCTTAGTTACAAGATTATGAAAAGACATCAAGTTATTGACAACACTGGTTACCCTTTCCCTTCATAAGAAGCATCAGTGTCCAAGATGGAGTTTGATGAAGTTTCCAGATGAAATTAAGAGATCCCTACCCTCGTATCTACGAAGCTCGCTTAACTTTATCCCGGCAACCATCTTTGGGCCCCTGTTTTCTACGTTAAGTCTCAACAATTCTCCCTCACAATGGCGTGAAGAAAAACAATCAAACTCGAATAGCGGCTCTGAACACGATAAAACCAAGATCATTTCCACTATATAATAATGAAAATTCCCCGCGCCGTTATCTCATCATTTACCAGCTACCTCGTGGAGTAGAGGTTAGGTAATTACGAAACATAATTTTCCATTGATAATCATTAGAGGGAGACAACGTTAATGTGGTAGGATAAGTGCACGGTGTCTCGATGCATAGTAATCGATAGGCCCACGAACTATGATTAACACATGAACACTGAATATTTCGTAGCGTTGATTGCGTTTGATAAAACTGATGATTATAATGATGATTATTTATGTAAATTTATACCATTGCTATTGCCGTTGCACAAATGAAACTTGAATAAAAATATGCAAAGATGCAAATGAAGTAAATTGAATCTAATACATTTTGCAACAGTTTTCATTTATTAAGAGGTAAAAATAAGACAAAAATATTCAGACTGCAATGCTGTTAATGTATGAATAACGGATTGGGATATAAAGTAAATCTAACAATAAAGTATGGATATTCAATAATAAAATTCTATATTTGGTAGCTGGAGAAATGACAGATTATATCAAATTATATCGCAAATTATATAAAGAATTTGTAAAAAAAAAAAAATGTCAATATATTAATATAAATAAAAATATCAGATTTAATAAAAGTAAATATAGAACATGAAATATTTGATCAATGTTGTACAGATTCATTAATATATATGATGTTATTTTGACACAATGTTCACCAGTTAAAATTATTTTAAACATGCATGCCTATCTATTGAAAAGTTTATACACATTGATTGTACGTCAAATTAATATTGTGAGGAAAGTTATTGAAGTTTATTGGATTATCTTTAGAAATTCTATGGAATCAAATATAATTGAAAATTTTTTCGAAATAGCACGATCAGCAAATCACTGACCGACTTTGATTTGAGCGGTACTTTTAGCAACCTAACCTCTTTCATGTGTTGAATTAGAGTTATATAGGTTCCACGAAATCAATGAAGAGAATGTAGTTTTCTTTATTAGTCACGAAAAAATATCCAAACTCAGTAATGATATATATAAGATCAAAGATTTATCAATATGTCTATTATTCTAGACTTTATAATATAAATATACATACAATTTACAAAAAAATTGATGTTATCTTTTTTAATGAATGATTTTTGACACTTATTTATTTTAAAATAAATTATACTGCCATAATTTTCATTTTAGATATATCAAATCAACTCTCACTATTTAATTCAAAGTCTTATGTTAATTTTTTTTAAATTTTTTTTACCTTGAATAGAAGAAAATACGTTTTTAGGTTAGATAAGTTATTACAAAATGGAATTATAATTCAAAAAAGATTATATACCATTAATATACAAATGTATCAAATACTTATAACATATTATAGCATACACGCAAAAAATTATAATTATTTATATCTATAAAGAAATATTTACATTTCTAATATCTGATAATCCTGTATTTGTCAATTTCAATAACAAGTATATAGCCTTGCATTGTATCATAATAAATCCTATTCAATTTCTTGAAAGAATATCTACTTACTTCGTACCGTATCCGTTTTCATCTATTATATCTTTTCTCTTGCTTTTCTGTAAGTACTGACGATTTTCTCATCTTGGCATAGTACATTCTCTCAAAACATTCATGACAAACCATTAAGACACGGCCAGTGTTTCCAGACAGTAATATTCAACCAATAAAGTGAATAGTGAAAAACTGGGTCTCTTTGATTCTTCATCGATCCATTAGCTGACAACAAGCCCGGTCTTTTCCGCCTCGTTCCCGCGATTCCGGCTCACGAGTGCAGAAAAACGTTCGATGCATTCGCGGATACTACGTCGAAAAGAACGGTAGAATTGGTAGTACGGGGTCGGAGGGTGGGAGAAAAAGCGGAGAACGTCGATTTAGGTGGAGGTGGGGATATTGCAATCCTGACAAAGAAGGAAGGTATTTCTAAAGGTTTCAATGGTCGGTCGGGGAAAAAGGGAGAAAACGTTCGATGGAGGGCGAATCTCGCTACGGCCAGGTATTTCGATATTTGTAGAAAACGAGACAAAAAGGCGGAACCGTATTTAAAAAGCGAACGTCGTCCGCGCTCGCGCGCACTGCCTCGGGATAAATCGTTCCAGGGACAAAGGAACGTTCACAGGCGAAACACGCGTTCTCCAATGACAATAATTGCTCTCGTTCCGTACACGATAGCCCCGCTAATGAACGGTAATCGCATCGGCGGAAAAACAATAGCAGCCGGTTTGTAGGTTAGGCGCACGGTTATCGTAAGTTCTAGTAGTTTTAAACGGAACTAAATATTTTTTTTCTTTTTCCCGAATTATATCTTCTCATTTTCTTTCTACAATGAAAATATTTTGCACGATATTTTTGAAAACAAGATATGTGTCGACTTACCTGAATAGGAATGTTCTGTAGTTTTTATTGAGGTTAAGTATTTTGCAGTTGTATTTTGTAGTTTTTGGCACTTTTATTGTTATTTTTAAAATCATGATAAGATTAAATATTTATTGCACGTTATAAAGATAAATTTATTTGAAATTAAAAGTAGTTTTGAATCGATAAATATCTTTGATGAATATATTGGCTGATAGTATTCTATGCTTTTGTTTTAAAAATCAATCAAAGAATACAATATTTTTTTTAAAAATTGTTTATATTTATGAATTTTATTTGAATTTAGATTTAACTTTGGCTTAAATTGAGTTAAATTTAAATTAGATTTAAATTAAATTCTTATAAAACATAATAGAAAGCAATAATAAACATATAATAATAAGCAATATTAGAAGAAAGTTTTAAGATGAAGAATGTAAAAGAATTTAGGTCATATTTAGATTATATTTAAGTTTCCTTTTATTTTTCTATGTATTTACTTTTTATACGTACTTTTTATACATAATATCAGAACGCATAAATATATGGTATCAAAAGTTTTTGATACTTTAAAACTAACTTCAACATTAGTTAAATTTAGGTTATGTGAATTCTATACTATCATCCAATATAGCTGTTTTTTTATTTCACACGAAACGATGAAACCACTAGATCGAAAATTTGTCGCGTGAGATGATTCTACAACGACGAACACAAATTTCTCGGGCATAGCGAATGCAATTTGCTTCGGCGTCTGATTCCACGTAATCTCAATTGTTTCGAGCGGCGTACATAATTCATTCAACAATGTCCACAAAATGGTGTCACTTCGTCGATGACGGAGTTATTGTTCGCAGGATAATAGATGCCCTACGCTTTTTCCAAATCCCGGAAAATAATTAAGGACTTCGATGCGATAGGAAAATAATGGTGAGAGATCGTTTAAAAACATGTGTTTGATGAAAAGGAGAAAAATAATGGAGAAAAAAGACCTAACCTATCTAGCATATGTTCATATGAATAAAGAATATTTTTGTATTTTTGTATTAGAATATTCATAATGAGACAGAAGATTTACAAATTTATTACTCGAGAATCGTAAAAGATTTGAAATATAGACAAATTATAGTATAAATCTTATTGTAGCATAATCTATAATTATACAATTTTATTATTTTAAAAGATTATAATTAAAATTGAAAATTGACTCAAAATTATAATCCATAATCACATATAGTATTATAATATATATAATATTTTATAATTTTATTTTTTTATTTTATATTATATTATTTATATATTATTTTTATATTATTTATATTATTATATTATATTTATTTTATTTTATTATATTATTATATTATATTATTTATAATTATTTTTATTTTATAATTAAAGGGAACCAAATGATATTGAAGTCTTTGAGAAAACTTTTGGTACATCAAAAATTAAAAAAAATGATATGATTAAGAGAGTCTCTTATGAGTCATTAAGTGATCAAAGTGTGAGAAAATCTTGAGGACAAGCACATAAGTATTTTTTCTTTCTAAAAAGACTTAATTTTTATTTTTTTTTTCCTTTTTTTTTTATTTAATTATATTTAATCTTATAATAATTTTATTGAATACTGTTAAATCTATCCAAATTATTTCTATCTTTAAATTATTTCTTTATTTTTAATGAAGAATATTTATTTTTTACAGATGCATGCATCCAATATATATTATCTTTCACATGATATTAAATATTAAATTAAAAACAGACAAATTTTTCAGAATGTTTGTCATCTCTCATTAGCTCGTAATGAGATACTTTTGATTTATTTAATGCATGTCCTCTAACTGTCACCTGATAGCATAGGGGAAAAATATATAGGTGAAAATCACTGGTAATATGTTTTACAATAATACCTAAATGATACTCGACGTTATCGCGTCCGGCCAATGATGATGCATCACCGGGTATTATACTTCTTCTCATTAGCATTAAAACAAACGTTTATTTTATATCCTGGCTTCCGTCTCGTTTTTTACCAGCAAATATTTACTAGCTTGCGGAATGTTCACTGGTGAAGAATCATCCATTTCCAGGCTTCAGCAAATTTTTAAATCCGAACCATTCTTCTGTGTTTTTTTTAAATTTTCTTTTTACTTTTATTATGTATTGTTTGTTTGTTTCAAGAAAATGTGATTTTTTTTTAAATAAATTTTTTACTCTATTTTTCCTTTAGAAAATATAATTTTCTCGGAATGGAAAATATTTCAAAATAAAATTAATTAGTATTATCTAATTTTTTAAAAAATAAATATTTTTAAAAATAAAAGGTTTTTAAAAAAA